GACGACGGTTCCCATGACGACGCCAATCCCCAGGAACACGAAACGTTTCTGGCATATATCCTTGACTCAATACCAACTCTCACGAAAATAGCTTCAGAGCCGGAACAAACCAACCGGATCTTTTGGGTTACACACCAACCCTTTTAGTAAAAACCTTATATATAGTGAAATTTCATCTCAACATACAGCTCTTTTCTTATACCCGCGCTCTATAACTATATATATATCACCGAAAAAAAATATTCTCAAATTTATACACTTGGGATTTTAAAATATATTTTATCTGAAACAGCAATATATATGTTTCTCTAGAATATAGCAAAAACTTTGTCCGTTTTAGTGAAAATTATCGCTACTAGGATAAAATTTGTTGCAGGTAATTTTTATACCGATTTTGGGGTAAAAATTCTACTTTTTTTTCATGTGAATATGTAAACTATATATACCTTAAGAGAAGGTTTGAGAGGAGGAAAAGAACCGAAAAAAAAGTTCGAATATCCTTAATTATGGGTTATATGACCGCAGCGAGTAGCTAAACCCGTAGGCATTAACTATATGGTATGCTCTAAATATACAAAACGCGATATCTTCTTGACATGGCCCAATGTCGAATATATACACTCTGATGTATATATATATATATAGTCACGAACTCACCGCAGTATTTGCATTCCATTTCCGACACTGGTCGGAATGGAAATACATTTTATGACCGCGACGATGCGTCCATCTAATTAAGGACACACTGCTGCGGCGAAAAAAAAAACAAAATACGGATTTGAATTTATATCTCTATTGTTGAAATCCGGAATTGCTACTACGAGAGAGAGAGAGATGATTCCTTTTTCCACCCCCCAATTGTTGGCGAATATATATGGATGATGAAAAATGAATAACGACCATGAGGGAAAAAAAAAAATTTGTCAGTTTTATTTCGACAAAAAAATAATAAATAAATAATATTTTTTTCTAATAAAATATTCTTTTAATTTTTATTTTGGAATATTCCAAAGATTGCGGCGATTTTTTTGTTTTATACGAAAAAAAATCCGTAATTATGCTTCTGTAAAAATTGAAAATTTTTTGCTTTATTATTTTTTTAACCATTTAAATTAATTGTACGGATTCGATATTTTTTATATTTTGTATTTTGAAGTATTTGAAGTTACTGAATGTAAATATAAAGACAGATTATCAGAATTCAAAAATGGCGTATCCAAAATGGCGAATATTTATTTTAAATTGTCCAATTTGGAAATTTCTTTTTTTTAAATTGATAGAATTTGCTTTAAATTTGTTCCTCGGAGGTTTTTGTGGTCGCTGATTAGGAATCTGGTATATTAATTTTTTCAAAATTCAAAATGGCGGATACAAAATGGCGAATTTTTTTTTAAATTGATCGAATTTGCTGGAAATTTGTTAATCGGGGGTTTTCGTTGTCGCTGATTATGAATCTGGTATTATTTTTGCAAAATTCAAAATGGCAAATCCAAAATGGCGAATTTTTTTTCTAAATTGATCGAATTTGATAAATTTTTTTTATTAAAAATTGATTGGATTCTCTTGAAATTTGTTACTCGATGATTTTCATAGTAGCTGATTACGAATCTTGTATTATTTTTTCAAAATTTAAAATGGCGACTCAAAAATGGCAAATTTTTCTAATTTGCTCGAATTTGGAACATTTTTTTTTTTTTTATTAAAAAATTGATCGGATTTACTTGAAATTTGTAACTCAGAGGTTTTCGTCGTCACTGATAACAAATTCGGTATTATTTTTGCAAAATTCAAAATGGCGGATCCAAAATGGCGAATTTTTTTTTAATTGATCGAATTTTCTGGAAATTTGTTACTCGGGGTTTTTTGTGGTGGCTGATTACGAATTTGATATTAGTTTTTCAAAATTAAAGATGGCGGATCCAAAATGGCGAATTTTTTTTCTAAATTGATCAAATTTGCTTCAAATTTGTTACTCGCGAGTTTTCGTTGTCGCTGATTACGAATCTGGTATTATTTTTGCAAAATTCAAAATGGCGGATCCAAAATGGCGAATTTTTTTTCTAAATTGATTCGAATTTGATAAATTTTTTTATTATAAATTGATTAGATTCTCTTGAAATTTGTTACTCGATGATTTTCATAGTGCTGATGATTACGAATCTTGTATTATTTTTTTCAAAATTTAAAATGTCGACTCAAAAATGGTAAATTTTTTTAATTTGCTCGAATTTGGAACATTTTTTTAATTAAAAAATTGATCATATTTACTTGAAATTTTGTAACTCAGAGGTTTTCATGATCACTGATTACGAATTCGGTAATATTTTTGCAAAATTCAAAATGGCGGATCCAAAATGGCGATTTTTTTTTTAATTGATCGAATTTGTTGGAAATTTGTTACTTGGGGGGTTTTTGTGGTCGCTGATTACGAATTTGGTATTAGTTTTTCAAAATTAAAAATGGCGGATCCAAAATGACGCAAAATTTTTTTTTAAAATTCATCAGATTTACTTGTAACTTATGTCATACACGCGGTGTTTTTTTTGGGGTCGCTAATTACGAATTTGAAGTCAGATTTTCAAAATTCAAAATATCAAATCCAATATGGCGGATTTTTTTGAAAAAAGTTACATTTTAGAATTATATATTATCTAATTCCTAAAATGTCTTTTTTATTTTTATTTAGCATTATAGGGTAAAAATTTGCCCTTTTTTACAAAAACAATGTGCATGTGGCTTCAATCGTTCATTTTAAATTCCCTTTTTTTGTCATTATATTTTACTAAATAAATTTCAAGAATGGAGAAAAAATATATTCTTTTACTTAAAAAACCACTTCCCATATATATGAATGAATATTTCTATATAAAAATATATCTAAAAATTCTTTTGTAATAAAAAAAAAAAGTTATCTATTGAGTCTTTAAAATTCCACCATTTTTTATAATAATGGTTCACGTTTTCCTGTATTAAAAAAAAAAAAAAACATGTCGAGTCGCAACCATTATTTTGGCGCCAAGATTGCGTGTGTCTCCTTCCATCAAAAAAAAAAAAAAAAAGAAATCTTAAGGAAAGTGTATTTCTTATCTAACGCGCGCCTCTGACTAGAATTATCATAAAAAGAAGTATATAGTATATCTCTACGTGTTGTGGGTTTGGTTTATATAAGTTTTTCGGAGATTTTTCGAGCGAGTTTCGAGCAACTGAAAACACACCTTTAGAAAAGCACGTTTCGACCATATATATATACAAAGCAGGGATATACGCATAGACATCTATATACATGTAGATTTAGGCGGCTCTATAAATAATTCAACCAAAAATAATATGTATGATCCCCTTTTTGCCTCAAGTCTTGGGATTTTTGGACCAGACTTTTTTCGAACCCCTATACAAAAAGTATTAAAATAAATCTCATTTATATATATATATATATATATATATATATATATATATATATATATATATATATATATATATATATATATATATATATACATATACGGATAAGTGACAAAAAAATCGATTAAATTATACATCTAATAAATTTTACAAGAATTTCGCTTTATATATTAAGTTGTATTTTATATTTTATGGGTATATATATTAAAGAAATTATACGAATTTTTTACTTATAAGAGTTATTTGAGAGTCGCAACAAATAAATTACATAAGGGTTAAAAAAAAAAAACCCAAATTTAAAATTTACTTTACAATTAATTAGCTACAGATGCTAACGAATCAGAAAAAAAAATTTTTTTCTATAACTAAATAATGTTTGCTGCCAAAAAGTTAGATGTTTAAAAAAAAAATTGAGAATTCTAAAAAAAAAAATGCTAATAATTTTTACTGCACTTACAAAGTAATAACTTCTGCGCATAAAAATAGGATGGAATTTAAAAATTCTGATAATTTATTATTGGTTTACAATGTCACGTGGTATCACTAAACATGGCGGACGTTAGAACGAACAGCTGATCGCGTATTTAAGAAAATAATTCCCATTTTCGACTAAATAATCTGATTATATAATAAATTTTGTAAAAGTAAAATTCAGGAAACAAACTTATATATGTGTAGAAAAAAAATTTTTTTTGGCCAAAAATATAGAAATATAAAAAAAAGAAAGACTATTTGAGTAATTTTTTTCACGTTTCGTGGGCAATAAATGAAAGAAAAAAAGAAACATTAAAACATGTGAAATATATATATATAAAAAGATAAACGTAAGTTACAAAAGGTCACTGGATTTTATGAATTCAAGAGACATTTTCAACTTAGTCCTGCCCAAAATTGTATATCTACACCAATAGAAACATATATATATATATATACAATATTGCGTTTATATATACGTTTCCTTATTCTTGTGGTTTCTTGATCCTTGGATCATGTGGAATCAAGTAAAAGTTCGCGACATGAATGATAAATAATTCCGGGAATAAAGAATGGAGGAACGGGACTTATAATATGTCTTCATTCCTTATATATATATTTGCCACAGAAAATAATATTTTTTACATTCAAAAATTACTGAAAGTAGTTTACAAAAATTTCTATATTTTATTTATTCTAAAAATAAAAAATTTTTATATAATAATAAGTATTAAAATTTTAATATTAAATAAAATATTTTAAAAATCGAAAACTTTTAGAAAATCTTTTAATTTTTTGGAAATCTACAAAATTTTTTTTTTGGTTTTTTTTTTTTGAGGATTCCTATAACCAGTTTTCCCTTAATTTTTTTTTTCCTAGTGGCTTCCCTCATAATAGCCGTATGCGGTAGAGCATTCAAATTGTAGAAACCAAAATTCTCAACAATGGTCATTGAAATTTTTTTTTTTCTCTCTTTTTTTTTGATCAGTTTTTATGCAAAGAGAAAGTTTTGCAGCACCCTTCAAGTTGAGGATGAACCACTATAGTTGACGCCGACGTGCCTCATTTCTTTCACGACTTTCATAACTAAAGCAACGCGTGTTGGAAATCTTCCTTTAATTTAATTTTTATTGAAAAATAAAAAAAAAAGTTATTTTATAATTTACAGTTACGTGTGCAAAAGTCAAATTTCTTACGTAAAAAAAAAAAAAAATAAATTCAGTGTCGTGCTTTTAGATTTTTTTTTTTTAAAGAAGTCATCATGATATGCAAATTGTTGCCTAAATTTTGTAAGTGCTTTTTTGTGTATCTGAACATTAATCTTTACGGATTAATAACTATAATGCAAATTAATGTAAATTAACAACTATTTGTAAATTATTTTGGATTTTTTTTGGCTTAATTTTCTCATTTGCGCAACATTCATATATTTTTCTGACATTTTTATAAAGATAAAATTGTATGTTTCATGAAAATTTAATAAATAATTAATAGAATAATAATTATACAATTTTATAATAAATTTTAAAATAAATTTTATAATTAATTTTATGATAAATAAATTTTAAAAATAAATTACCAATTCCTAAGAATAGAATTACTTAATTCGTAATTTTAAATAATTAATAGAATAATAATTATACAATTTTATAATAAATTTTTTACAATAAATTTTATAAATTTTTTATAATTAATTTTATAATAAATAAATTTTCAAAATAAATTACCAATTCCTAAGAATAGAATTATATTTAATTTGTAATTTATTTATTTAAACGTGTAGAATAATGAACATAATTGAGATAAAAATGTGTTGTAAATTAACAATAATTGAGACGTGTGTCTATCGTTAAATTGTAGACAATCTTTTATAATGAGAGGAAAAATCAAGCATTAAATGCACAACAATTATTACAAGTTTTTTTATGGCTTATTGTATTATATTTTACGATCGTTTTGTTAACATCAAAAGATTCTTCACATATATATATATATATATACACGATAATTGAAAGTTATTTATCAAATGTATAAAACTCATCACAATTTATTTTACTCAAAAAAAAAAAAATTTATTTCTACAAATTATATTTTCCAAAAAAATTCCTTTTTTTTCAAAATTTTGAAAATATTTATTTCTAATGGAATGAAAAAAAAGTGGGGGGGAGGCATGTGACAAAACTCAACTCGGAAATTCACGAGAGAAGTGCTTTGAGCATCGATACGAAACGCGCACGCGCGTCCATAAAATGATCGTAAAAACTTAATTTTACGAGAGGCATAATATATTTGCACCACTAACAGAAGAAGCCGTACTGAGTTCAAACGGGGTAAAATTTTGTAGATATGTGTAAACATCCTGGCACGCGCTACTATATAGTTTTCAGTTTGTGAGTTTTCAAAATTTTTAATTATTTTCTTCTTCAAATTATATATTTCCATATTTTTCTATACAAATTAAAATGGAAAATAATAATTAAAAATTTAATAAAAAATAAATTTAATAAAATATAATTTACAATGAAAAAAAAAAAAAAAATTCATCTGAAACAGCGAAAAATTTCACTGGAATAGTGAAAGATTTAGCTGAAATATAATTAATACTTTTACTATAGCGAAACTTTTCGCTGTTCCAGGTAAATTTCTTTCCGTGTTATAATAAATAATTTTTAAATTAAATAATAAGGAAATAATTACAGTTATTTTATTTTATCAGTTACATATTTGGGAATAAAAAAATTATTTTTTTTTGCGGTTCTGGTAATTACGTGTATATATGTGATCGAGAGTATATAAATTCGCAATTGAAATAAAGGTTTTTTCGTCGAGTGATTGTTTAAACTAAAGAGAGCCGTTTTTTCTGTCGTTAAAATGCTTTTAGTGCCTCTTTGGTTTTATTTCCCGGCGGCACAAAAAGTATATATATATATGTATATATGTGTGTGTACATTTAGATTCATGCGATTTTCGAAAAAAAAAAAAGTCAATTCTCACATCGTTAATCGCTTGTATATAATAAGCTTGTGACTACTATTAAGTCCCTCATTAACTTGTTTTAATCGACTTTAAATCTATCAAAAGTTACTATAGTTGAAAATTTATTCACTCACATTTCAGAGGATCATATATATATATATATATAGGTATATTATATTTCCCCGTCGGAACACGCGATTCTTTCATATACTCGAATCATAGTTTACAATACTAATACACTGGAAAAATATTTTCGAAATTAATTAAATTACTCTCTAAATTTGAATTAGTAAAAATATGTTTATTAATTTAAATTATAGTGACTCACTTTTTTGCTTCTAAATTAGTAAAATTTTACTAATTATTAGTAAAAGTTACTAATAATAAATTACTGATTACTAATTATTACTAATTACTCATTTAGAAGCAAAAAGTGAGTCACTAATTCAAATTAGTAAACTTTTTTACTAATTCAGATTTAGAGAGTATATAATTAATTCTTAATTTTCGATTTCTAATTTTTGATTTTTTTAATTTTTTAAAATTTGTTTACACTTGTTACTTTCCTTTTTTTTACAACTTAATCAATGGTTTTGAAACTAAATTTTTTTTCGTCCAAAATTAATTAATTGAAACGAAACTGAATAATAATTTAACCGGATAAATCCTCAACGTTTTACGGTTGTAATAACGTAAATATAAATAAATAATAAATTCAGAAAATAAAATAAAAAAACGACGATCGATTTTATATATATATATATATTATTTTTATGTCTTTTTCTCGATAAAAACGTTCCTCCTTTTATTTTTTTTTTTCCCCTGTTTATACGCGCGGACTTAATTTTTGCTCAAACTCCCTGTTTCATATATATTAATATATATCCGTGTACTAATTATAAAATACCTTCTAGTATAAAAAAATATAAATTATTATTATTATTATTATTATTATTATAAACCTAATATTATAAGTAAAAAAAAATTCGAGTATATAAATACTTAAAAAATATTTAAAATAAATAAAAAGGGAAAAAATATTTTAAAAGTAAAAATGTAAAGGAATGTATAATTGATCCTTGAATTTCTTGAAGCAATAATTTTGCGAATAATTGCGGACTAAATTGAAAGGTTTTCCCTCCCTATATATACATATAAATATAACATAACTTTTTTGGAATATTTAACATTTCTTAAAAACCAATGATCGTTGTGCCATTCGGTTTACGACTAATTAATAGGCAGTGGAAGCGTTAACGAGGCTCACAATCCTCTTTGGATGATGACAAGATGAAGTTCTTTATATATATACGGAATTCTCTCTTAATCGACTGACATTTTTTTTATTTATTTTTTTTTTCAAATTCACTCAACCCTTTGCAACATTGCGCGGGGAAAAAAACGAGAAAAATTCAAAAACTTGATCAAAATAAGAATATATATATATATATATATATATATATATATATATATATATATATATATATATATGTTATCATCATCCAATCCAAAATGTGGGTGGTCTTTATATTTACAAAACGAAAAGACTTATATAAAATGACCGCCGCGTCCTGAGAACGTGATCGCGGTTTTGTCTTGATCTCTCTCTCTCTCTCTCTTTCTCTCTCTTTTTCTCTTTATATTTTTTCTGCCTTCCAATTGGAGAACATGAAATTTGCATTGCCAGCGTGTTACGCGCAAAAGCTGATGCATAAAAAAAAAAATTTTTTTCGTAGAAAAAAAAATGGAAGGTCATTACACTGATAAATATATATTCGTCTCTTTGATTTTTTTTTTTTGTACTTTTGCAATAATTTCGCAGAAATTTCAAAATTAATTTTTTTTTTGGATTTCGGTGGATTTATTAAGATTTGGATATAAAAATAAGAAGAAAATAAATATATTTATATCTAAATAAACGTTTGGTTTATATATATATAAAAAAAAACTGAACTCATTTTTATTGCAGTTCAAAAGTATAGCCGCAACCTACTTGACACTTTTTTTTGCTGCACTCACAGAAAATTAAAAGGCATTAAAATAATTTATTATTTTAATCCAATTTGGTATTAAAATAAGCAAAATTGGATTAAAATAATAAGCGTTGCAGCTTATTTTAATGCCTTTTAATTTTCTGTGCTTTAAAATGAGTTTATAATTTTCCACATTTTTTTTCTGGTTCTTTTTGTAAAGAATTTGAGCCAAATAAATTTTGTTGATTCAAACAAAAAATTTTTGCAATTTTTTTGTGTTTTGCACTTTTAAAAATTGAAATTGAGACAAATATTGTTTAACATTATATATTTAGTGTAAAGTAAAATTCAAATGTCGTGTGTATTTCAAAACCTAACTAAACAACAACAACAACAACAAATAATGGCGGGTTATATAGACACGCGAGTATATTCTAACGGCGATTATATATATACTTTAACGACACATATTAATTGGCACAATAAAACCAAATGTAACGAGGGTTTAATTATAATATTGAATTATGACCGACGTTTATTCTTGTCACGCAATGTTAATGGCCCTATATTTGCCCACACGCTATTTTACTATTTTGACGCTCATTCACAAACATGAAACTTATGTCGATATTATGAACTCAAGGTCAAGATGCTGCAAGTACCATTATTATTTTGGTATACTATATATAATTCCATTTTCACTTTCACTGATGCTATTTTTTTTTAATTTTGCTTTTAACTTTCACTGATTCTAGTTTTTTTTTTAAATTTTATTTTCACTAATTTCTATAATAATTAATGAAAGTGGAAGTAACAGTGTAAGTGGAAGTAACAGTGAAAGTGAAAATTATTACTAAAATTCAAATATTTGTCATTAAAAATTGTTTGAAAAATAAATTGTACAAGAATTTTTAAAAAATTTTACACATCTCAGGTGAAAGAAAAAACTAAAACCGTTATTACTAGTTAAAATATTATATATTTTTTCTTTTTACTAAAATGATATTGCATCCTAATTATTTATGCAAATGACCATGATTTTTTTGCTTCGAAACATTTTTTTTTTTTTCAAAGACTTGAGAAACTGTTCTTCTATATATATATATATATATATATATATATATATATATATATATATATATATATATATATATATATATATATATATAATTGCGAAGGACATTGGCATAACTCATAGATAGTAATTAAGTACAAAAAAAAATATGATCAAATATGGACAGAGACGAATGCAAAGAAAGATAATTATTGGTATTAAATTCCAATTGGGAAAAAAGTACAAAGTAGCAATAAAAAAAATAGAAGAAGAAATAGAGAAAAAA